ATGTGCAAATTCTTTAATCCATTCATGAAACTCTTGAAAATTCAGAATGGAGGAAAACAATGTAAGAAAAGATTCAAAATCAGACTTGTTGTTAAATGCTTCACACAAGCCTATTACTGACAAGTGAGCTCTTACTAAACTTCCTCGGGATAAGTAGCTAGTTGGATAAATGAGTGTTCAACATAAAATACAAAGCTACTGGGAGTATTGGGAGATTCAAAATCAGAATTGTTGTTAAATGTGTCACACAAGCCTATAGAATTGATTATCGAGAAACCTTTGCACCAGTTGTCAACTGAATGCTATCAGAGTTTTTCTTTCAATAGCAAGTTATGAAGGAATGGGGATTGCATTTCCTTGACATAAAAATGTCATCCTGATTTGGGATCTAGATTAAGAGGTGTATATGGAAATGCCACAATGACTTGAGAATGATTACAACAAGCATCTTGTATGCAAACTAAGATAGTCTTTCTATAAGCTTAAACAATTACCAAAAGTGTGGTTTGAAATGTTTGCTAAAAATATAAAATCCAATATATATTCTCAAAGTCAAGCTGATCATACATTGTTTATAAAACACACTAAGGGAGATAAGATTGTTGTACTGATCATATATGTAAATGATATGATTCTTACTTGTGAAGATGAAATATAAATTTTTAAAATTAAAAAAGTGTTGGCCACTAAGTTGGAAATCAATGATCTAGGAAACATGAGATATTTTCTAAGTATGGAGTTAGCAATGTCTAACAAAGGGATTGTTATATCAATGAGGAAATACATTCTAGATTTTCTAAAGGAGATAAGGATGATTGAATGCAAACGTGTTGATACTCTAATGAAACTTAGCATGATGTCTAACATTAAGAAGAAAGCACATATGTGGATAAGAGAAGATATCAAAGTTTGGTAGGAGAATTCATCTATTTGTCATATACTTGATCATATATTGCATAGTTTGTCAGTATTGTGAGTTAACACATGAATAACCCAAGTGAAGAGTATTTGGAGATGATTTATAAGATTTTGAGATTTCTCAAGGAGTCTTCTGGTTATAGATTAATTTTGTGAAAAATAAAAACAGAGAAGTAGAAGTCTACACTGATGCTAGTTCGACTGGAGAACTCACTGATAGAATGTCAATCACAGGTTATTGCTCATATGCATGAGGAAATATGGTTGCATGGAGAAGTAAGAAGCAAGTTTTTATTTTGAGAAGCAGTGCATAATTAAATTATATGACACTTGGCTTGGGAATCTATGAAGGTACATGGATTCATAAATTATTAAGGGAACCGAGATGTTCTTCCAATATGCATATACAAATATTCTGTGATAGCCAAGCAATTATTAGTATTTCCAAGAATCATGTGCATCATGACAATACCAAACATATCGAAGTTGATAGACAGTTCATCTCTAAAAGTGTCAATGGGGGAATTTTAAAGCTAAGCTGCATCATGACACACTGACAAATTGTTGTTGATGCCTTCACCAAAGCTCATCCTTTCAGCACATTCTCAAAATTCAATATCAAGCTCAGTTTTTGCAGCATCTACGACCCAACTTAAGGGGGAGTGTTAAAATCTGAGAAGATTTGGTTCTTTTCATATTTACCTCTCTCATGTGGGCCAATCACCACCTCCAAATATTAGAGGTTTTGATTGAGAAATTTTAGGAAACCTTTAAATGGTTTATTCCCTATTTTATGTTTATCTATTTTTCAGTCATAATTATTTCTTTCTTAATTTATATGAGATGTGTTTGGTAAGTTTTTAAATAAGGTGGGACTGATTTCCCCATATGCATGCAACCTATCTATGAATAATGAATAAAAATGAATTTTCCTCCCCAATTAAATTCTACACATCTCTTCTTTTGGATAATCTTTCAACCATTTCTCCTTCATATCCCACCCAACTCCTAGTTTCTCATATACACCTGAGATTTGGTTGTCCGTTTTTGGTTGTACGTTTTATTGCATGAGAAGCTCTTTATTATGCCTTCGGTGTTATTTCTTTGGTATTATTGCACTTAATAGGATATTGATATTATGATTTTTTTTTTTATGTTTATACTTTTTGGCTGATTTTATTTTTTTATGAAACCACGCCTTTTTCCCCTCTCCGTGTCAAAGTACTCTTCACTTTTTATTTCTCTTCTACTACAAGTTCTTAACCCGTCTACCTCATTACGAGTTTATTATCGATGATCTTGATCTCCATCAAGATTAGCACCTCTATGATCTATCCATATTATCAAATTTGACTAAGCATCTACTTGCTAATGAATTTTTTGTTCTTTATTTGCTAATTACTCTAAAATAAGCAAAAAAATGTATATTTCTCATTATATATATAGATTTAAACGAACTCCGCATTTAGGTTGAAAATTTTTGTTAGGTCCTTGTTAAAGTCGGTTTTTGAAATAGAACCAAATTTTAGGCTCTCATTCTAATTGTTTATATTTTTATCTGTTACCAACTTGTGATTAAAATGACCTCTCTGAAGTAAACGAGTATTTACAAAAAGGTTTTATCACCAAAGATTAATGAATTTCTTATATTTGAATTTATTTACAACAAGAAAACTCATCTCAAAGAAATATACTATTGAATTTTTTTTTTAAAGAAATTAGTATTCTTCACTGAAAACTGATTGATACCCATTTGGGACTTTGACCATGTTTTCGAATAAAGTGGCCGTCGATGATATATCTTCATATTGTAGGGAGTTAATAAGTTCATTTATCTAACAACTACTAGTCCAACATCTCAATCATTGGAGTTATTAGTCAACACCTTCAAGATGCAAAATAGCATTGAAAATTTACTTTGAGAATGATTGAAAGTTGGGACATTTACGTACGAAGCACACAATTCTTATGTATTTAAATACCTCGCACACCTAAACTTTAATGTATACATTTATAGCACTCAAATCTTTATTATCACAAAAAAAAGTGCGCTATTACCACTTTTAACAAGTGAAATATACCTTTTCATTCATAGGTTTAAAGTGCCAAAGTGCTATGTTTGTAAATATGAAAATTTTGGTATGAGATATATAATACATAAGAATTGTGCTAGGTACGTAAATTTGTCTAAAAAATGTCTTGGAAGAGGTTGTTATATTTAAGACCAAGCACTTACATATTTAAGCATTCTTAGTAGATAGCATACTATTGAAGTAAGAAATTAAAACCTAGGGATTGTCTTTTTTAGAGTTTATTTGATCAACTAGAAAAGTAAAAGGTGAATTGCTGTTGCTAGGCTTATTTTAGAGTTTAAATATAGAGCTATGGCCTACTCGATCTATGAAATAATGTGGATAAAAGCCCTGGCCCGCTTTGTCAAATGATGTGGGTAAAACCTCTAGTTGGAGAGGTTTTTTTAGGAGAGTTTTTTTTTTCATTACTTGTACAATGACATCATATTGTGAAAACTTGCTACCATATGCATTATAAACTATCATTTATTCAACCAACAAACTAAGGGGTTGTTTGGAACACTTTTTATTTTTGTTTTGGTTTATTTATGTTATTACTTAAATAAAATATGTTTGATATCTTATAATATAGTTGTTTTTAAAAATAATCAAAATAAATTTTGGGTGCTCTGAGTGGCTTTTAAATACATGTTTTTTTTTTAAATAAAAAAAGAAAAGCATGCGAAATATACATTGAACAAATATTATTTAAGAATAAAAGAAAAAATAAAAATAACAACAACAACAACAACAAGCTTTTATCCCACTAAGTATGGTCGGCTACATGAATCCTTTTTTACATTATGTACTATTGAGTGTCATATTTTCATTTAATTGTAATAAATTAATATCATTTTTTATACAACATACCAAAGTTTTTTTTAGGTCTATCTTTATCTTTTTTAGCATAAGTCAAATCTAAAACATTTACTCTCCCAATTGAATCATCAGATGGTCAACATTCAATGTGATCAAACCATCTAAAATGACTTTCTCTAGTCTTGTCAGTCAGTGGAGCTACAAAAAAGCTGGAGGGAAATTGTTATGCTTTCTTGGAAGATTGTTCTCATTATGTTTCAAGTTAAGAAGAAATGGCGATATCTTAACCAAAGTTTGGGGCCACCTACAATATGCTCGTTTATGTAATAAGCTGGAGATTTAAACTTTGTATATATAAAGATTATACTCTCAATATGCTGGAGACAAAGTGTTGGTATAAAATACATACAAGATAAAGTAATATTTGAGAGGGTCCAATTTAGATAGTCATAAAGCCTTATGCATTCACCTATGCCTATTTAGAAGTCTCCTTTTTCTAAACAATAACACAAGAAACCCTTTTCTCCAAAATGAGACATTTCATGGTGAACTTTATTGAGCGGTTCTCATCTTAATCCTAACTGCATCATGATTATGATTATAGCTTCGTTATGTTTCCAATCTGTAATTCGCTAACTCGTTCGTGATTCAAAAGATGACCAAGCTTCTATTTGTAAACATTACTAGCTATTTTTTACAAGAAAAACAGTTTTCTTAAGGAACATTTAGGCGTGGTTCGATTCCCTACATTAGCCATGTAAAGTAAATCCAATAGAGGAATTTTCAAAATTCTGACATTTGGTTGGATTAAAACTGAATGCAGTGTAAATTTTTAATGAATTTGGAATTCATCATGTAGTTCAAAACTAGTGTTGTCAGAAATCTTTAGATTTGTACAATTTTCAAACACATTACAAACAACAAGTTGTTGTCGCTTACACTATTGTCCACTGACCTCCATCTAGCCATTGCCACCCTCTATCGTCGTTGCCACTGCTGCCCGTTGCAGGAGTCGTCGCTGCTGCTATCGCCGAACATGTTTTATATTGATTTCATTTTTATTCAAACGAAACACAAAAATGTAAATTCCTGTATTTACTTTACACCAAGCCAAACAACTTCAAAACATTTGAAATACATGTAAAATCTGAATGATCTTGTAGATTCTAACCTGAATCATACCCATTTCAGGCGATTGGCTAAGCTGGAAATGCTGAAGCGCCGCGGAAAGGGCCCGCCGAAGAAGGGCCAGGGAAGGCGGGCTGTGAAGCGCAACAAGTAGTTAAAGATAATTCACACTTACCTTGTTACTATATCTCCTTTTTTCTTGCTTTTATTGCTAGAAATGTTTTGCATTGTTTGGACAAATATTTAATCTCCCCATTCTTTCATTAAAATTATATGTGCTCTTTTATGAGACGATTAGAGCTCTGCAGCGCTGGATGAATGGAGGAATTTGAACCCATTTCATGTAGTAAGATCCACAATTTACTAGTGACACTTCAGTCTTTCGTTCTATAATCTGCTTTTCTTGAAATTTTATACTTCAAATTATTTTAGGTCTTTTAAAGTTGTTTTTGTTTTTGTGAGGGTAAAGTTAAGGGTGTTAATTTGGGTTAATGAGTCGGGTTTAGATCTGACCTGAATTTGTTCGGATCTGATAAACTTGATTGGCACTTAATTAGATTGACTCAATTGGCTTGTTTAATATAATGCATAGTAGTCATTGGAGTCAAGTTTGATCAAATTTTGCTTTGTGGGTCAACCTCTATTTTTCAGAATTCTAGATCTAAATTAAACCCACAAATTAATCAGATCGATTTGAGCTCAGGAGTCTCAAGTTGGATTGTGATCATTTTAATTGCTCTTGTTGAAACTATTATTATTATTATCCCTTCCATTCATTCACAGATGCACCCACTTTAATAATTGTTTCAAAAAACATTTGCTGAAGAAATTATTATTCAAAAAATTAAGGAGATTATTTTATTTTTAAAAAGTCAGACCGCATCTTTATGATCATCATCACACATAGTGGGGTCAGATTGCAAAGTGTAGGCCGTAATTTTTCATCATAATTTTTTGAAAAAACAGATAAAATAGTTTTGCCAAATACCTAAAAAAGCCTAAAAAAGCAGTGCGATGTTGCAATGCCATTGCACGGTTGCCAAATGCAGCCTAAGTTTCTTTATAATTTCGAAACAACATCCTCATTTTAAAATAGGCTTATTCTCTCTCTCTTTTTGTTCCATAAGTTTTATAATGAATATATATATATATATATGTTTCTGATTCAATTTCGATTTGAATGATTTGGGCGCCTCTCAAAATCGAGTTATTGCATGCTATATTTGATTTCGAGCCAGCTCAGGTCAAAATTGAATCGAGCTCGATCCAACACAGAATCACAATGAGCTCTCTCAAATTGTGTTATTGGATTCGTTTTAGCTCAAAATCGGCTCGAAATTAAAACCACCTTGCTCAATTTGAGCGATTTGGATCCATTCAAGCTCGAAATCGGCTTGATATTTACTCCTGGTTTGTTGTATTTAATTTTATTTAGCATTATATGTATAGTTTTATAAATTAAACGTACTTCAAGCTAATCTGGAGCCAATTTGAGCCGACCATGTAAGGCTTAAAAATGGCTCAAAAATAATTCGATCCAATGTTTTGACTCACAGCTCGACTCGCTTATCTCAATTCGATCAGCCAAAATTTGAATCTATTTTTGAGCAATTAACAATCTTTTAGCCCAAATTACAACCCTAAGTAAAGGGGGGTAGAAAGAGAATTTACTGAATAAATGAGTTCTCTAAAATGATTAGGGATCAATCACATTTTTTGTGATGACCATTATTATTTATAGTTGGGTTATTTTGTACATCACAATTGTTGGGTGAATGGTATTGACCAATTTTATTGGAGACAGATTTCATTAGATTAATAGTTAAAAAAATGACCTTATTCTAGAAAGACATGACATGGTCAACGGAAGAAGTTTGAATGGGCATGCCAAGGACATTTTGACCCTTTATTTGCAGGTGACAGGCAGTCTGACGCTATAGGAAAAGCAATACAAGAGAAAATAGATATTATATAAGTAGTTTGGTGAAGAGTAAATTTACTCATGTTTATGTTATAATAAATATTATGATAAAGTTGGAATATAAATCCATGCTGGGATGTGATTAAATAAAGTTTTTTTTTTTACTAATTTTAATAATTTAGTGATACGTCTCAAATAGTAAATTTATTTATACATCCTCAAAAATTATTTTAATCATGCGTGAATTTCGAAGCATTTTAAGCAAGAAAAAATTCAAATATGAATTCATGATCATTCAAGTTTCGATTTCATTAAACTTATAATTGAATCGAGCGCCTCGATAAGCCAAACCCAACCACTCTAAACTTAGTCCAACCTTGGTCCTATGAAACCTAGATCATGCTGTTTAAATATATTTAGAATGATCAAATGAATTTCAAATCTGACAAACTTATACATAAACTGAGCATCTCAATGAGACGAATCCAACGAGCCTAGGATAACTCAATTTAGACATCATTAATGCACTTAAATATTCATAAAATATCATTCAATCAAAAGAATCACTTTGCGTTATCTGATGGAGTGCTACGAATTCATGCAATATTTACAGATGAAGCCACTCCCAACATTTATAAATAGAAACCCACTCTTCATGAGGGGGATCTAGACTTGGAAGATAAAGCCGAAGGAGCTCTAAGCTCTTGAGAATTCTTGAGCTCCACCACAGTCAAGCCATCGTCGACTCGCTATTGCTACCGTCGGGCCATTGTTGTTGCTGCCTGACCACTATCATCGAGCTACCGCCGCCACCAGACAATTGCTACCCAACATTATTTTAGTTGCCGCCATAGTCGGACCACTGCCACCGGACCAACACCGTCGTGCTTCCACCATCGTGAACCCGCAGTTGTTTGGCCACCACCACCACCGTACCACTAGTGCCCGACCAACATTGTCAGATCATCATTGCCCACCCCCTTCATTGAGTCGTCGTCGTCACTGGACCACCATTGTACAGCCACTGCTATCGACC